TTATATTATTGTGAACATTTACTGTTGAACCTCCCTAAATCGATCCTCTCAAACCCGATAACCTGTCAAATCTGATAAAAAATCAGTCTATAAAGTCCGTTTCCGTTATATAAATCTAATAGTTTATAATGTTTTCCAAATCTGATAACCTCAAGACTGATACAAAATCGGTCCACCATGCATATCGGTTTGGGGAGGTTCAACAGTATAGTGCACTAATTTTTAAAATTATTCAAACAATTAGTACGTGCACTGTGCATATTTTTGAGGTGATATTTTATTCACTGGTTAGAATTCCATTTTATTCATAAAAAATAGAGTATAAACATTTATTAATTTAAAATATTCAGATACGTTATGAATGATTACTATTTACATTTTTTAGATTGTAAAAGTAAAGAACATCAAGCTATTCAAAGTCATCAACATTTATTATTAATTTTATTCGCAGTAGTTTGCAGCGTTTCTTGTGTTTTTTATCGGGCATATATCAGAATTGATAGGGATACAAGTTTATATAGCTATCAGTTGCCAATAACTCTATTGGTTTTGATATACGCCCGACAATGACACAAATTATGCAATATGAATATTAATATTAAAGATTTTTTTTGAATTTAAGGATCGGGTATAGGGATTGGTTCGCTCAGCTAGGTCGGTTATCAGTCAGCTATTATCAACTATCAACTAATAGCCGATCAATTACTTGATCAATTTCTAATCAATTTTTTAATCAAACATATAAACAAGTGACAAATAATTCTATTTTATTTGTTATACAGTTATAAAATATTAGTGTTTAAAATTACCTTGCACAAGATGCACATGCGCAAGTGGCTTTTTTTTTTGTGCAAGAGAAGTTCTAAATGTATATGCACAAGTGTGCAATTAAATTTAAATAAGGAGCTTGCGCAAAAAATGAAGTGCAAGAGAAATTATAAAATTTTATTGCACAAAAATTAATCAAAATACATTATTCTCGCTCGGATCATTTATTACGATGAAAAGACATTACGGGATAGTGCATTGTCGCAATGCTACATGTCAAAAGTGCTATCTAAACTTAGCTAAAACAATCATTAAACTACTCTAATTGTCAAATCTCACACTTCCTAAACGCCATTCTTATCGACATCACCATACTCCGAACTAACCGTCGATTATGGCTGTCCTTATGGTCGTCCGTTTAGTCACGTGGCGAAGACGAGTAGAGAATCGAAGGTGATGGTTTTGAAGGTTTGATTCGTGCAATGGCATCCTAATGCACGTCACCGAGCGAGATACCCAAGTCAGTGAGCGTGGTCAAAAGCTGATAGCATAGTTGGTTTTCATTTACTTCCTATTTTTGCTTCTCTCTTTTTTTTTTTTTTTTTGACTAGTAATTATCATGAAACATGTCACTGAGCAACCTGTTGTTCTAAAAAACCCTTCAGTATTTGCATAGCCATAACTAAGTGTTCTGTTCTCTTCCCTTTTTTTTTTTTTTTTTTTTTTTTTGCCAATACTGTAAGTTGGTGAGCCTTTCTTACAATAGTCAATTACCTAATTCAACAGTTATATTTGGGGCCACGATCCTCATAGTATAGAAAAAGGAAAAAGGAAAATAGGTTTCAGTTGTTTTTTTTTTTTTTTTTTTTGGGCGGTGGGGCAGGAAAAAGCCAGACCAAAGTTGGGCAGCGAAGAAAAAAGCACTAAAAGATCTACTATTACATTTTTAGCCCTAATTTATACCCTTATGTTTCAAATACATCATAATATCGTCATATATTCGAAATGGAACAAAGGGTGCCGATTCTCACAATAATAACCTTAGCATGACTATTGTCATGTGTCAGTTTATTATTCTCATTTATTACAATGAAATGGCATTACAGGATAATTCAGAGGATTATGTTAAGACTTTTCTTTTTTTTTTTTTTGGTTTTTTCTCTTTTTTTTTTTTTTTTTTTTTAAAACCCCATTTTTGCTGTAGTGTTCTGGGTTACTGTTGAAAAGGACCCAAGGTACAAGAACACTGATTGGGATAGCCAACCTCAATACTCATTATCTGAGGTAACAATAACCCTGCTTTCATTGCACTTGTGGCTCCACCAATGTGGATACTGTGCCCAGAATATTTACCTTCATAGCCTGCATGTTGAACTATTCTTTTTACTGCTGCATTTACTGCTTCAGTTGTCTCGTTTGCCTGATGCATTTAGAAATAAATTGTCTTGACTTTTCCAATTCTTTCTAACCTCCAAATACTCATAAACTAGATGTACAGAGCTATATAGAGAATTTGTTGGGTCAACTGGGATGAATTTATCCTTTGCAAATTGATTTGTCTTGGATCTGTTTATTCTAACCCAACAGATTTCTTTTATCACTTTTATGTCATTCACATGTAGGTTACAAAGTTCAGCAGGCTGACGCATTGTGCGAAGACCTAATGCAATCATAGCACAGTCACGTTTCCAGATAATGCCAGATATGTCTTGAGAAGGGTTATCTATATAGTTTTGCAGAGCTTCTACAGGAAAGGGGTCATGAGGCCAAACTGCCTTTTTATCAATTGCAGTGAGCTTTCTTATGTTTTTTATAAGATGTTGAACATTGTAATCTGTTGTGTAGTCTTCTAATCTGTTACTCCGATGATAACAACTAATTGCTACTATGTAAGGATATAAGTCTGTTGACTGGAATGACATATTTGCCCAGGTTAGAAACAATGCAACTGTGTCTGGATGGGCTAGACTTACTCCTAAATTATGAGTATTGCAAAAGCCCTTGAACTCTCTCCACAAACTCTCAAGCTGTTTATTATACTTTGATTTTGAAGTTAGCATTGTTTGAGTCTTTTCTGCCAAGACATTTAAAAATAAACTTTTACTGCCTGAAATTTCCAGAAAGGATTCTTTCATGGTTCTGATATTTGGTTTCCACCTGGTACAGGTAGGAAATATTCTGTTGCAGGAGGAAGATCTATTACCTCTTTTTTTATTCTGAGAAGAAGTGGCCACCAAGGAGCTGATACCCATATCAGAACAATAATAGTCATTTGTGCCTGTGTCTCTATTCCTTGTTTAAGTGCTCTGTGAACTAAACTTAGTAGGAGGCATACATAATTGTTGTTGTGGTTCTATTTTTGTGTAAAACAATCAATGGCATCTGCTTTCAGGCAAAAGAAGTGACTGTTAAAATGAACTACTTTTCTTGTATGAACACTGGCTATTTGGTCTATCATGAATGGTCACCATTTCCTTTCTATAAATTGATATAGGCTTTGATTCATCATCTAGTTAGAGTCATTGAATACTCATGTTAGTTTGTCAGCTAGGTTTAGCTCTGAAGGGACCCAACAGAATTCATAAATATGTACATTGTGTTTGTCACAAAGATTCCAAATCTCTCACATTAATTTTTTTTTCCATGGTCTTTTTCCACCTAATTCTATTGATTTCTGAGCTACATGATTGTCTATACTGTTATTCATCGATTTGAGATTATTAGTATAAATACCTCTATACTCAACAGAGCTGCTATTGACTCGAGAAGAGCAATATTGGTATGCTTGTGCTTTTGCTTCCAATTCCCAAAGGCTCTTTTTCATTTCACAATTGCTAATCACCCTGTTGTTAATGCATCAGCATATAATGGCACTATCTTGGATAGTCACCAAGCTGGGCTTCCAATTTTTTTTTCTAAATTTTCCAAAACCCAGTTTACATCATGAAGTGCTTGTGGCATTAATCGAATTGGAGCCTCCCATTTCCAAGGTTTTCTTTTTTCTGCATCGATAATTGAATAAAATTCTAGGTAATAAGTTTTTGTATAAGCAAAAGCGTAATTTAAATTCATCAGTTTTCCCATTGCTGAAGCAAGCAGTCAGGCTGTTAGTGGCAATACTGTCAGAAAGCTTCAAAGTGAATACAATATATCTCTTATTTTTTTGTCAGGTGCTATTATTTCTCTGGTTACTGTGTTTAAAATCATTCCATAAAATTTTGCTTTTTGTGTTAGTTCTGGGTGCCCTTTTTCAGCTAG